CTGGGCGCTAGAGACAAGGTAAGACCAGGTAGTGAACCCAAGTCAAAGGAAATACACGTAACTCACCTGTAAGGTACCTCACCTGGTCCATAGTCAACCCAAGTCAAAGGAAATACACGTAACTCACCTGTAAGGTACCTCACCTGGTCTATAGTCAACCCAAGTCAAAGGAAATACACGTAACTCACCTGTAAGGTGCCTCACCTGGTCCATAGTCAACCCAAGTCAAAGGAAATACACGTAACTCACCTGTAAGGTGCCTCACCTGGTCCCCAGACCTGACAGCCTGCAATTATACTTGTACGGTGCAAATGTTTCCTGTATTAGCTGCCTTACCTAGTCCCAGAGCTAAAAAAAGAGCCCAGATGTAAGAGCCACACAAAATATAACGTTGATAACCAATTTGGTCCCCATTACCTACATGTAACGTTATATGGAGTGTTACCTGGTCCCCAGAGCTTAAATCCCCTCAAATATGATCTGAACTGTGCTTTTCCTTGTCCCCAGAGGTAAGAGCCACACAAACGCAGTGAATATAGACGTAAAAGTTGACGTTTTTGCACGTAAATCGAGGGAAAGACGCAGGTAGCCCTCCCCACACTACCGAAACTGAGGTATTGCTGAAGCATATGAGTAGCAGTCCAGTGTTCTGTCCAATAGCAGCGTGGCTGTTCATCGTCACGCGTACTACGGCACTTCCGGTGACCTCCAGTGACCTCCGCCTCGTTTTCGACCCCTACCCTTAGCCCAATGTGAAAAAGTATCTCCGGTGGGACTCGTCGCTGATTGGCGCGTTCTTACAATGCAAACGCTAATAAATAAAAACTCAAAGGACGAGTTTAACAGAATTTGCATAACAATATATGCTTCAATCTATTTCTTCACGTAGAAAATATATTTTACAAAAGATATTTATGTCCAAACGGTAAATGTGAGTCAAAATTGTTGTATTTTCATCAGTAATTCTTTGTGTCTTTGCAAGGTCATTCGGGGTCACAGGTCGCGCATTCTTTCGAAATTTCGATGGCGTGTGACCAGGTTGTACGGCCAGGTTGTCTGCCGGAATTTTCTGCTTTCTTCTGTGTTTCCTGCGTCGCCAGTGGCATGAGAGAGGGGGACAGCGACTGGAACTATTGCGGAGAGACCAGAGCGGGGCAGAGCGCGCACAGCTTCGGGAGAGAGTAAGGAAACCGCGGTGAGTTCACGTAAATAGATTTTGTTGCATGTCAAAAATTATGACCCGCGAAATGATTTATGTTTGTTGTTATTTTCGGATCAGTGAAAGTTGTTGACATGAACTTGGACCCCGCCCCTGTTCATAAAAACAACGGCATCTGTAAGCGTCAGCTCCAAATGTTTTTTTTTAATAAACAGCAATACAAACACACACTGTTTGTTGTTTTCAACAACTACTAAGTGCTGTTTCAAATTATGATTGTATTATTTCTCAACTCATAATAAGTAACCTAATGTGTATGTCATATTATAATGATGTATTTTTCCCAAGATTTGCCCTTAAAACTAGCTACATGTACTTGCTAATTGTGCAACCCTTTTTAGAACTGTATGTATCAGCTTTGAACAAAATTTATGCAATAACTGAATAAGACAGATTAAATATTGTGCGTTTTGTACCATATGGATGTGAAAAACCAGGTTGCCAGAGATGGCATACTTCACCCCTTTACCCATAACATGGAGCAGCTTCCTTCCTCATATTACAACAGTGTTTGCAACCCTTCCAGTCCCGGAGACAGAAATAGCAGTCCTAAGGATGTATTGTGTGTCAGCTCAGGGCTGACTTGTGTGTTTAGGAATCATGGAAACACACAGACCAACATGCCTATGCAGATTATGCAATTTGGTACCTACTGCATGTTTCTGTATGTTCTTAGTTAAAAAAAAATTCCAATACTAGATGTAGTTACTAGTAGGGCTGTGTACTGGTTTGGCATGATCAGGTTCAAGTATAGGTTCAGGTCAAGAGGTTATTTTTTTAGTGGTTGCTACTCACCATAATTGCCATATAATATATATTTACTTATAAACAATATAATACTGGTCGAACTGTTACCCTGTCCCACCCTCACAGTAAATACAGTCAATTTACATGTACAGACATCTTTTTGAGTCAGTGAACGTTAGACCTCCAGGTAGAAAAATATGTAAAAATCAATAAATCAATTACTGTATTAATTGTCTGAGAAAGTTTCAGATAGTATCTGGAATCTTTCATTAGTGACTGATCAAAAATCTGCTTCTTTTCTTTTTTCTTTTGCTTTCATCACATTTATGGTATTTGTTGTTGTTGTTTTGCTGCATGAGAGTTTGTTTAGTCAGAGGATCAGTAATCTGAGAAAGCACTTACGTCCACTTAGTTTACATTTCCCATCAACCATCTACATACCTCCTTTGCACATCAAGGGTGGATCCCTATTTTTTTCAAAAAATAAAATGAAGAATAATGACTTTTTCTCATGTGATATAAACATCTAGTACATGTAGTTGATATGGGAAAACTGGATGGGGCTTGTTATTTAAGATATGATACCAACAATACGTTATGTTCTTGTAATGTAATAATATTATAATGTGGGTATTTAATTTTTAAAACTATTGTTGCATGGGTTCTTCGGCTTCTTCCTGTGTTTTTCTATAACCAAGAAACGTGGCACTGTGTAACCTGGTAGTTACATAGTAGTTGTGTAAGGTGGTTGTCTGCATTAGACTTAAATCGTTATCTCTTTCTGTGTCTCAGTTTCTTTGTACCCTTAATTGAAGTTTAACAGTTGAGAAAATTTTGAATGTGCTTTTTTGTTTTGTTTTGGACTTTTCTATATCAAATAATAAGTCATGATCTGAGTACAATAAGGCTGGAGGAACAGTATACAGTGTATTTTAGCGCCACGTGTACATGTGAGCTCAAGACAACTCCACTGTAATTATCCAGCTGATTGTGCACACCCACTGTACCCCGGGGTATGCATACAGACAATCATGCTATCCCCGGGCTGTAGGTACATAATACATAGTCATGAAGGAGCTGGATATTCTCAGAATACCCCCGGTAGTCCGACATGTGTAGAGATCTATTTCTGCCTTTGAATGATGTAAACTTTACCTTTTTGATGTATTTAGTCTGACCCTTACCTCTTCCCTCATGACCTCAATGAAATTAGCAACCTGCAGGGTGATTTGAGCTTCTCGTGAAAAAAGAATGATTCAAACTTTCTTCAGAGTGTATGACATTTCAGAGAATTTGTCCAGTTCCTTGATTTGTTTTGTAAATTTTGTAGTTATGTATATCACTAGCATATATATATTTACTAGTATATACCTGGATGTCTAACCTTTGGATGTGTAACCCAGGTCTACTTTTTGTTTTGATCTTCAATTTTAGTTAAAAAAACCACACAGTCTTACATAATAGTAACAGCAAGTAAGTCTACTGAACATTTTAATGGATTTCTACGAAACAGTTGGAATACTTTTTTCTCAGAAAATTCACTCCCGTACGGCCAGTATTTTTGTCATGCTGACCTTGACATTTAAACAGCTGTTCCACGTACTACAGCTGTAGTGTTACGCAATACCAGTGTTGTAACGTGTATAACAACTGGTATTGTATATGACAAAGTGGTTAACATAATACATTATACATTATACATAATACATCAAAGTGAAAAGAAAGTAACCGAGAGGTCGTGAGTTCAAACCCCGGCCGGGTCATACCAAAGACTTGGTTCTTTCTCTGCTTAGCACTCAGCACATATGAGAAAGAGTATGGGAAGGTCAAACACACAGCACTACCAGCGGACTAGCCCCCTGCTGTAGTTCTTGCACAACTGTGTGTCGCGGAAGCTTAAGGGCTACGGAAATGGAGATGGGCACCACCCCTATGCTCTGCATAGAGTGGAACGGAACCTAACAATAATCCCTGAACACGTGTACTGTTACATGTACACACACTGATGTGTTTGGGATTAACCACTTAATCCTACTAATGGCTGGGATAAGTGAGTAACTGTGAGGATGATGAGTCCTAGAGACCTTGACTGATGATAAGTAGTCTCTACATGTATAGTATTGTGTCATGGGGCTGCTGATGTGGCCCAGGTGACTCAATATGGGCATTCATAACAACAGTTTTACTGTAAAATGTAGGAACAGGGTGAACTATATTCGTGGTTCCAAGTTGACACTTCGAAGCTTCGTTTAAAGGCAATGCGGTTTTCAGGGCAGCAATAAAAAAAAAAAACTATTCTGGAGATGAGGAAATCTGTCTGATGTTGATATTACTGTTATTTCTTAGCACATTTTCATCATCATTTCATACTTGCAGCATTTAAAATAGCCCCAAAACAAGCTACAAGCTACTTATTTTTGGTACCACCATACATGTAACTAGAACCAGCCTACGGCAGGAAACAAATAACTGTTTTTCATTAAAGATATCACATTTTTGCCTCACAGATTCAACAAATGGCAAATTTTAATGGGGGCAAATGAATGAATAACAGTAAATCAATATCATACTGTAAATCCATGTGAATCATATTCATATTCTCATATCAATATGAGAAATCATCATTGTTCAAGGATACATTTTTAGCTTATACCATTATGTAAGCTGAAAATGCTTTTTAACAGTGATTACTTCTCCATACCATTGTGTGCCTGAGTTCTTGATGTGGTTCAGGTGATGACAATTTGGTCCACATCAACTGTTCACAGGAGGCACTTTACAGGCTGTACGATAATCACTCACGTTTTGGAAAGCTTTTAACTTCATACAGGAAGCTTTGTGAGGATGGTATAGTAACTTGAAGGGCGGTTTAATTGACTATGATGGCAGGCAGGGGAATAATCATTGTATTTACACATGTCACATAGACGTAACCTTTTGAAATTATTTGAGCAACTGGGGCTTGAAAATTTGCAGAAAATGATGCATAAAAGAAAAGTTAAAGAGCCTTTTGCAGTAAGTGATGCATAGGGCGTCGACCATCTCCGTTTTAAATAGCCTTGGGCCACACAACATCACTACAGCAGGTGCTAGTCCATGCCAAGTTGGTAGTGGTGTGTGTGCTCCCATACTCTTACTAGTACTAGTACCCAAATGCTGAGTGCTAAGCAGAGAAAGCAGTATGTACCATTTTTAAAGTCTTTGGTTGACTCGGTCGGGGATCAGACTCAAGACCTACCAAATGAAAGGCGAGCAATCTACCCACATGGCCATTGCACCATGAAAAGAAGCAGAGTCATTATTATAAATGGCTGTAATTTATAGTTACTTGACTGGGCTTTGAAATATCAGCTTCTGCATCTGAATACCCCGCTGTTCCTTTAATAGTAACTGAAAAGACGTGTATTTTGTCATGAAGAGACCATTTATAACAGGTAACATGTGCACCTGCCTCTTGCTGAGGCCATTGAAACTTGAAAAGCTCAAAGTTGCGCTCGTTCTTCTTCGAATGTGTTCAAGGTTGACCTGTTGAAGGTCAGGCTATTGACATTGTGAGAAGATTCCAGAGTGTGTTGGCATTCATATGCTATCAGTGTAAGTTGAATTACATGTAAGTCATCAATTATTATAATTCGTATTTTACTGTATGATTGTGAAGAGTTGCTCATCCGATTACATTTTCCCCCGATGCATATAGTGACTGCTTTTACATATTTTTGCTCCATGGCCTAATGCAACAACCCAGAACTCCGTAGTTACAGTAAATCACTTGATATTCGTGGTAGTAGTCCTTTTTATTTGCGGTTTTGGCGCTCACTGCTGTACCGTGAATTTATCTTTACCCTGAACAAATAATTCACCGACTTCCTTTATTCTGCATCTGCCACCACCGCACACATAATACATGTACATGTAATTCCGCAAAGTTAACATGTTCATTTTTCTCGCACCACAAAATTTTGCTACGACGCACTGTGAATATAAAGTGATGTACAGTATTCTGTTCCATCTGTAATGGAAAATCTGTATTGGAAATGTCCATTAGCCACCAGATAGAGCTTCGACCTTCCTTGACCAGGATTTAGATTCCGAATAGAACACATTTATTTATTCATTGCATCCGTGGCTGATAGCACATATGGAAGTAAAATAAATGGTTACTACAAATTTTCTGGTCGTATGACTGAGTGCAGGATTGATGGTATTTTCCCATGTATGGGGTCATTTCTTTACCATGTTCTACCATGGCTGTGTGCACTGAAAACTATGGTAAAATGAGAAAACATTAGCTTGAATTGTTCTCAATGAAGTATGAAATTGCAGTTCAGGTTGGTTCTTTAATCTATATTAGATATAATCAATGTTAATTGGTTTTGAAAGATAAGCTATATTAGATCCACTTATTTATAGCCTTGATACCATTGGAAATTTGCTTATTTTTTGCTTCTTTATGTTTGAATGCACCCAATACCTAACAGTGTACTTTATATTATTTAGGAATAAAACATTCACAGACCATGCTTGAAGGCCCTCTTTCATTTGCTAATTATCTAAAATGCAGTCATTAGCTTTAATGTCAAAATCATTATTCAGAAATAAATTAAGCAAAATTACTGTCAAAAAATAAAAACAAATTGATTGATATGTTTTAAAATGAAAATCATCAGAGATTAGACTGAGTCATATATATACTTCAAAGTACAAATTTTACATGCATGTACATTGAATGTGTAGTATTGAAATAATCTTTTGGGACCTCCTTTCTGTTCCTTCAACTTGAAGTTGAAGCTCTCGCTGTTTGAATTTGACAAGTTTGAGATTTTCTAACCTGAGAACATTTTCCAGTCTCTCCTTTGATGTTAGGTAATGGAAAAGTGATGATGTCCTTGTAAGTAGGACACCTGCGATGATCCATGGTAAAACGGTGACATGGTGATGTCTAAATTACCTGAGCGACGTCTCAGGGGTGATTCAGAGAAGATGAACAGGAGGCAGCAGAGGAGAATTCCTGTCATGTAGCTCATCTATAGCTCTCCTGATGGGACGTGTCCTCCAGTCCTGTCTGCGTACCATTAATTTTTGTTACTGCTGGGCCGGGGATATGTAATTGTTAAGTACTCTCCAGCAAGCAGAGGTTTTGGCTTTGGTTCATTTTTCAAGGTGTTTCCAGGTGTCTTTATCAGGCTTTCTTTTATGTATTGATCTTGACTATTGTATACATGTACATGTATCTTTTTTTTATGCCAGCCAACTTGGGTGGTAAATGGGAACTGTCTGGCAACTGTGTCTTTACAGCCACCAAAAGATCTGCTTGGAGATTAATTGTTAAGAGGCTGGTTTGTTCAGTGTTGGCATCTGTACCAGCCATGGCATAAATTTGCATTATAGGGTATGGAAAGTAGATGATGAAAGTCACTGGAGCAAATTATGTAACTGACTGGTATCAGACATAGACCATGGTTTAATCCCGGATTACATCATGTCATGTAATCCCCTGCGCAGCTCCAAATACATTCTGGGGGTTCAAAATCTTCAATTTCTTGTTCATTGATTTGTCTGTACCTTTTTGACCATTTTTCCCCATTTGATCATTCAGGTTTCTTACTGTGTATAAAACCTTTTTTATTACATACATTTTATGCATTCTAACTCTTATGTGATGACAGGCACAATGTGTAATGAGTCAACGTAATCATACGTGACAGCCATGCTGATTTTACTAACCAAAGTTTGCTAAATGGTTTGCTTGTTTCTGTAGGTGCAGGTAGGGTGGAGGTGAGGGCAGGCAGAGACAAGACAGGGGCTGACTGGTTTTTATAGGTGAGTCTTTCTGGTAGCTTCTAGTCATAACTGGTAAACTGTAGTTTTATCCAGAACCCTTAGACTTTAAATTTATCCAGAAGTGTGTTCAGGCACGGTTCTGGATAGTCCATACTTATCCAGAACTGTGCTTTATCCAGAACCATGCCCAGGTACAGTTCAGGAATTAGCCTGGTTACCAAACCTATTATAGCTCCCAAGTCCTACATCCTCTAATATTTGCAGAGAGGATGTAGGACTCGGGAGCTATAATAGGTTTGGTAACCAGGCTAGTTCAGGATATCCATAACCGTGCTTTGGGCAAATCTAAATGTACATTCTTGGATATCCGGAGACTATCCACAACCATGCCTGATCCTATCCCTACCTCATTCGGGCATAAAACTACTAGTAGATAGGCATGGCACAACACACCAGTTTTGTGCAGTATGTATTGGTTTATTGGATTTCAAAGTTTAACAGACTTCCAGAAATTTCTAAGTATTAAAATTGTAACTTTTATTGCAATCATTTTTACAATTCTGTACTTGAAGTTAAACAGTGAATTCTGATGAATGTTGGCCCTCAGCAGTTGTATGTCCTTGTCATGTGTGTTTGAAATATAATATTTTATAAAGTTGTGCTATGATTAATGTCTAGTATCATTAGTATGCACGTCACAGAGGAGAGAGTGATTGAGAAATCATATTATTAATTTCATTACATAAAGTCATGTTATTAAGCTGCATGTAGTTATGAATACTCCAAAATGCATTTAAGGATATTGCAAAATGTGTAAACATTATGAGCAATTTCTACTGAATTTTAGTCTTTTTTTATTAGATATCCTTATTGAATAATAATATTTATTGAAATCAAATCTGAACAGTTAAATTGCTCTTGGTTATTGGATCTTTGATAAGAATCGTGAGTAAAATTTTTATTTTTCCATTACCCCATCAGAAGTCCCACTTTGAAATGCATCTCTTGAAAGATTTGCCATTACAGGAAGAGATTCATTTATCGGTAGCACAAAAAACAGAATTCTTGCACAATTTTACGCTGGCCTACAGTCATTAAAAACATGTCTGGAAAGATTTTCCATTTTCTGTAATGGATGATTCAAGTTGCATGCATAAGGAGCATTCTTGCACAATCCTATGTAAGCCCACAGTCACAGATAAAGAATATCAATAATGGTATTGGCTTCTGTATTGCTCATAGTTCACAGATCACCACCCGTTGAAGCAGGTTTGTACCTATGTGATTAGCCTTTAGGAAAAAAATGTTGTGTTTCTTGTTTCCTGTTTCAGTCTGGAAAAAATTAGGGTCTGTAGGTAGGGATTATCTTTGTTTTTCTTTTTTCAGACTCCAGTGATATCTATATAGGGGTCCAACTTATACAGTACAGTGTAACATTATAGTAAACCTTGCATGAGGACACTTTTATTTTCAATGTCAATGTTAGAAAACTAATTGTACAATGTTTTATCTCTCAGGTGTCAGATCATGGAGCTAGAAAATTTTTATCAGCTCGAAAAGTATGTCCCTTGCAGGGATCCACCCCCCAAAAAGTCTAGGGTCCGCAGGTTTTTCTAGGGTCGGTTGGGAAACAGGAAACACAACGTTTTTTTTCCTAGGCCTGACAGGCTGATTCCTATGATACATGTAATGTTGTTAGTATACCACCCGCTATGCATGAAAACACCTCGGATGAAAGCTGCATTGATTGTGGAGCTTTGATATTCCGTATTACCCTAGGGTGGCTTACAGGCACGACTTGTAGCTTATTGGTCGATACCACTTGTTGCCAGACAATCAAAGGTTGTGACGCTTGATATTTTTACCTCGTTGTATTTTGAATATCTACCAAAACTACAGGTAAGAAAGAGAGTGTGATACAGCTACATGTATGTCTTGTTGCCAGACAGTTGAAGGTTGTGTGAAGCTTGATATTTTTCCCTCATTGAATATCGACTAGAATAGGAGAGAGGTATGACTTGTACATGTAGCTTATTTGGTTGGTATGGCTAATAATAAGTCTTGTTGGCAGAGAATTGAAAGTTGTGATGCTTGATATTTTTCCCTCATTGAATATTTACCAGAATAGGAAAAGAGATGGTTAAACTGCTGTATGACTTGTAGCTTATTGGTCGATACGACTTGTTGCCAGACAATCAAAGGTTGTGATGCTTGATATTTTTTCCCTCGTTGTATTTTGAATATCTACCAGAATTAGTAAAGAGAAGGTGATCTATAGCTTGGCTAGGCTCGATATTTTTCGTTGAATATCTACCACAATAAGCTAGACAGAGAGGGTTATAGTTATGAATATTACAGCACGACTTGTACATGTAGCTTATTGGTCAATACGACTTGTTGTCAGACAGTGTTTAAATACACCCAGGAAGATTGTGACGCTCACTTTTTTCCCTCGTGGAATATCTACCACAATGTCTACCAGTATAATGACCATACAATAGAAAAACTATGTGAATTTATCTCCAATTGCTTTCGAAAGAGAGAAGAAATCTTCAAGGCTTAGATTAGTTTATTCTCTATAGCTAGTAGTTAAAACTTTTACGTTATTCTGATATCCTATGTATCATGTTACTCAGTATGATGTACATGTAACATTACATTCTGATGAATGCATTTAGCCCCATGGGCAAGAACATGCAAATAAAGATTCAGTTAATAAGCAAGACAGAGAAGGTTATAATTTATTTGAATATTACAGCACGACTTGTAGCTTATTGGTCAATACGACTTGTTGCCACAGTAACTATAATACCTGAAGGTTGTGTGACGTTCAATATTTTGAATATCTGTCAGAAAACAGGAACCAGAGCCAGCAAGGGATTTGCAGGTTGACGTCAGTCCCCTGTTGTGTAACTCAGTCGGTGTAGATGTGTTTAACCCTCCGACCCCCCACAGATCATGTGGCGATAAATTTTCCATTATACAGCTCTGACTAGCTCTGCTGACGTAACACTGAGTAACCGTTTCCAGGTTGTATCGAAGCAGTCCATCTAGCTGTTTCCAGAAGTGAGCTAAGAACTATCGATATCGGTGTAGAATGATGTTTCCCCCAGATATGCCGGTAGAGATAAATTTTCCATATATCGAGGCAGTTCTATCTTGAGTTGTTTCCAGAAGTGAGCTCAAAACTATCTGACGTATAACCCTTCTGACCACCTCCTGGATCATGTAGCGATAGATTTTCCATAATATTTTTATATAGCGCTTCTGACTGTCGACATAACCAGTTAAACGATTATGTTTCCAGGTTGTATTGAGGCAGTTCCATCTAGTTGTCTGCAGAAGTGAGCTCAGAACCATCAGTGTCTACTCTGATGTTTAACCCTGACCCCTCGATCATGTAGCGATAAATTTTGCCATATATAGCTCGCTTCTGACTGTCAACGTAACAAACCAGTTATGCTTCCAGGTTGTATCGAGGCAGCTCCATCGAGTTGTCTCCAGAAGTGAGCTCAGAACCACCCGTAGATCATGTGGCGTTAAATTTGTCCATATATAGCACTTCTGACTGTCGACATAACAAACCAATTAAACGATTATGTTTCCAGGTTGCAGCGAGGCAGTTCCAGTTCCATCCAGTCGTTTCCAGAAGTGACAGGCTAAACTTTGCGGAGAAGACAGAACCCATCGTGGATGGCAGACTGCTGTACTACTAATATGGTGGCAGGAGTCCTGGGTGCGGAGCGGGATTGTTCTCTCAGTTACTATGGCGATGGAATTGCAGGTGACGGCGAGGCAGCGGCACGTTTCTGGAGGGTCCCTGCTACGGGCCTCCAGTGTCATCGAGGTGAGTTCAAGACGTTCATCAATTTCTATATGCTAGAAATGTGTTATTTTAAGGAGCTAAATTGTCAAATTTTGGCAGATCCAAATTCAACTGTTTTAATATGTAGTACTAGTCTTGTATTTCAAGGTAAGACCCCATTGCATTTTATATGACCATTGTTTACAGTTTTATTGATGACAATGGCTTGTAAGTACATTGTAATCTGTGAGATAAACATATTTCTGTACAGCTTTTAAAAAAATCAATTATTGAAAACACCAATAATATTTACATACATGTATTGTGCTTCAGACAAAGGATTTCTTATTTATAACAGGACAGATTTATTTCTACCTTTATTTGGTAAGATAGCAGCATTTAGTATATTGATTGTTTGTGGCATATTGATGACAGTCAAGCAAGGTTTGACTGTTACTGGAAGATTCTAGCAGTGCCATGGGTTGTGTGTGGCCTTGGACTGACACATTCTCAGTCCCAGGCACAGTGCCAGCTTCTGTTTCTGTATCTTTATAGCCAGTATAACTGCCCTTTAGCATAACACACCGGCTTCCGTATCTGTATCTGTACAGCCGGTATAACTGCCCTTTAGTGTAACACACCACCTTCTGTATCTGTACAGCCAGTATAACTGTCCTTTAGCGTAACACACAAGCTTAAAAGGTACGTGGTGCAGCAGAAGCTGGTTATATATCAAACTGAACAGCCTGTCACACCTAACCTTTGCACATTTTCATCCTTCCTGGAATTCTGTAGTACAAAATCCTGTGTGACTCTGACTGTGAGCCAGAACAGTTTATCGTCTCAGCTTTTCTGACTCCCGGACTTTAGCTACTTACAATCATATTGTAGGGCTAGTAACATTTTATTTCTGTTTTCCGCAAGATGAGGATAAGACAAGTTGACTTCTTCTTTCGTGAATGTAGTTTGCAAAACTTGAAAAGTTGAATACTGATATTGTTTTAAGCAGACATTATTTTCTGCTGGGTGCAGTTGGTTTACGTTTTGAAAAAAAAAAAAAAAACATATACATTGTAGGAACTTAAAAAATTAGTGTGCATGATGATTCATATCAACAGATGTTATTCCAGGTCCCCACTGTAAAGTAATGGCATGCCACTCAGTCAGAAATATTAAAAGAATTACATTTTTTTTCTTTTAATGAATAAATAGATTCTTGCCTGCTTGCCTTTGAAAACATCTGATATTTTATTTGGCAACAGTCAATTTATCTTTGAAAAAAATTCAGATGAGTGAAAAACCAAGAACCAAAAACCACCTTGTTCCAGCCTAAATGATTTTGTATACATTTGTACCTTTTATCTTTGATCCCTGGTAAGCCCCAGGAGTGTTTCTCACTATGGTTTCCCATAAGCCTTCATCAGGAGTAGATTTGCCTCCTGTCACCTTACTTACATGTAACTTTAGTCTCATGTGAGCAACATTCTGAATTTTCCGCTGTGCATGCCACTGTGCATGTAAAATATTATTGATTTCATTAACAAACCAGTTCTATGTACTTCCTTATGTTTTTTCTAGCTTTTGTTGTAAAAATATTCACTATATTTGTAGATCATCAACTTGAACCAGGTACATTTGTAGATCCAGGTCTTTGACCTAAAGATTTTTCAACTTAACTTCAGAATAGTTTAATTCTGTACAGTAAGTAAATATTTACATGTATATAATGTTACTATTCAATAACATTGTGCAATCCAAGACTATTTAACGATAGATTGGATTGTAATGGTATGACTGATTTTCCCAATCATTAGCAAGTATGTTATCAGAAACTAGTTATGCATAATTTGGCATTCAGTGATCATCTAGCCATAATATATTGTGCCTATATATATTGAATTTAAAAAATCAGTAACGCTGCCTGAAAGTCAGTCAGACTGAGTGTAATTTATGATAGTTACTGATACTGTTTATTCACATTCATTGGCAGCCATATATATATGTGCATTGTTGGCTGAATAGCACAAGTGTTTATTAAAAAACTTGAAAGAGATACACATTAAAAAGTATGACATTGACGATTAAAATTAAATAGATTTAAAATTTTGTAGGTCGGTCCATTAAAATAGAGGCGGACTACTATTTACAAATCTTGGTTACTGAGGCTTATTGCCTGAAACAGAAAAGATTTCCTCAGTCTTTTAGTTGCCGATAGACATTCATATTGCCAGTCTGTACTTTGGCAGGTCCCAGCGAGCATACTGCACAGTTATGATAAATGGAGGTCTGATGTTGTTGATAACCCCAGACAGTTTACTGGCTGATAAAACATTCTCCATGGAGCAGGGATCACACTGCTCATGATCAGCTCCTGTGTCCCTTCGGTGCACCCAGTTGAGGTTTACTCTTAGCTACAGTGGTCTTGTGGTTAGGGTTGTTGGTTTAGAATCTAAAAGTTCTGGTTCGAATCCCTAATGGTATAGTAAAGGGATTACACTGCTCAGCTTCTGTGTCCCTTCAGTTCAGGTTTAATGATTCAGAAGTGGGGTTGCAGGTCACTGATGCACAGGCCAAATCTCTATAACTTACTTTTGCCAAAGAACTTTGAACTTGTCTTAAGAGTCTTCTTGCAGTATAAGAAGACTCGTAATTTATTGTGCCTTTGGTGAAAGTACTTTGCACAATTTATTTCCTCACTCAACCTACTGACCCCTACTTTGCACTCAAGATTTACTGAATTTAAACTCCAGGGCAGGTACAAGTTCACATTAAATGTATACCTTCCCCAAGGTTGTGTCTGGCTCTTTTCAAATGTCTTTTAGCTGCTGCTGAAAGAGATGACACTGTGTCATCCTTAATGGGTAGCTTTTAGATAAAGCAGCTAAAATACATCGTGGATCAAACCTTTTAGTTAGGTCTTACCCAGCATGTACATGTGTATGTACTTTTGCAAAACGTGAATGTTACACCTAAAGCCAGTTTACCATTAATATGAAACATTAGCAGACAAACGTACATTGTAGGTGCCCTTCCCAAGGCTGTGTCTCAGATGTACCTCCCAGGAGATACTGAAAGAGGTGGCAGTGTGTAGATGTCTTTGATGCAGATGTCTGTGAGGTAGATGATCACTACTAGTTAGTCATAAAGTCTTAATGCATTGTGCGAGCTGTGTCTCACATGTACATTTGTACCTCCCAGGAGATACTGAAAGAGGTGGCAGTGTTGTAACATGCCTTTTTTGATGCAGAGCTGTGAGATAGATGATCACTACAGTAACTACTAAGTCATAAAGTCTTAATGTATTGTGTATATCATAGAGCTAAGCTTTGATTGAGTGTGTTTACTGAGTTTGTCATCATTGAAGACCACAGGTTACTTGTCAAGTTATTTAGTTATCAAACCAACCATCTGTACAGACCATTCACTGACAGGCAGTTACGTTTAGGTAACTGATGCCATATACATTGTGAAGTTATAAACATCTTGAGCAATAGAGTCTATATTTTCAATAAATAGCAAAATGTATATCTTGGAAGATATCTTGATACATGTACAAATGTATTTTAAACTAAACCATATAAACCTTGAACTTGCACACTTGCCATAACACTTTTAAGTAGTACTGTAGCTATTAAAATAGCTACAGTACTACTACGATGTAATTAAGAATGGGAATACATGTTGACACATAATAACAGCAAAGTTGTCATTTAGATTGTATGTTGGTAATGCATGATTGCCTGGAGCAGTGAAGCAGAAAGAACAGTCAGTACTGGAAACACTTTTCATTTGATATTTATTATACTGTATATATATTGTATGGAAGGGATATTGCTTTTTCTGGTTTGTACAGTATTTCACCTGAAGGAGATGTCAAAGAGGAAATTGTATATACATGTACATGTATGTAGGATTTTGCAGCAGTCTAGAAAAGCAATTAATGTCATACAATCAGGCCAGAAAGAATCTTGAATCAATGGTGGAGACATTTTCATTTGGACAGGTGTCATAATCATGTTTAAGTTGTATATATTAAGGGGATATTGTTTTTCCAGACTACAGTGAGGAGACTTTAAATGATTTATCTTTATACATAAAAGAAATATGGGGTGGCAATGAGCAAATCCTGGTGCATATAAGTTTACAGCTGCTGCAATATATACTTGGACCATAAAATATTAGTAGACATATATCATGAAATCCGGTCAGAAAGAAGAGGCATTTTTCGTCTGGTGTCATGTATGTTACATCAGTACAGGATATTATTATTTTTCTGGTTTATAGGATGGAGACTATAATGATTCATCTTAAGGCCTGTCAATGTGCAAATCCTAGCATATAGTTTACAACTAATAGTATATATACTTGAAGAGTTGTGGAGACAGTTTTCATCTGGTATCATCAGATTCTGATGTACATGAAGCTGAGGGATTACTTTTCTGGGTTATGGGAGAACACTTGAGAAGACTTTTATTACTTCACCTGAAGCCTGGTTGTGAGTGAGGAAATCCTGGCTTAAAAGTTTAATTTACACTCAGCAATATTCAGTCCAGAAAAGCACCATGTTGTGGAATCAGGTCATAAGGAAGCCTCAGTCAGCAGTTGATCCATTTTTCATTTTGCTATCATCCATACATGAAAGGCAGGGCTCGAAATTCATATTTGAGAAGTGGTGCACTGGTGCACACAACCTAAAAATTTGGGTGCACAAAAATTTTTTGGGTGCACCATATTTTAAAGGTAAAATAAGTAGAATGTCAGCAAAAATTAAATGTGTTTTAAAAGTACTACAACAATTTTCATTATTTTTCTGACATTTAGATGTTCAGAATATGTATTTTTGTACTGTACTATACATTTAACATCTTTACATTCGTAAACCTACGAAAATATTTGGGTGCACCAGTGCACTCACAGAACAAAATTGGGTGCACAGCTCTAAATTTGGGTGCACTAAGGTGCACATGCACCCAGTATTTCAAGCCCTTTAAGGGATATTGTTTTTTCTGGGTTACAGGAAGAATTCTTATTATTTCATACCG